TTTCAATAAGTGACTTTCTCTTTGTAAAGTGCTTAGAATAGCTCCTGGCCCAGAGGAAGCACCCTAGAAATGTGAATAAAATGGCTCCATATGCCTGCCCTGCTCTTTCTAGAATGGTGTGCTGAGTTGAGTTCAGGGAGCTACACTGGTTGTTTACCCCTGCTTCTGCCTCTTCTAGAAATTAGGATCCCTGTGCCAGTTGGATGGCACCTGGCAGCAAGGTACAAGATCCCAACTATCTGATTCTCTGCATTTATGGCACATTTTATTAGTCTTGAATTTTAAAAAGAGCCCTTTCAGTTTGCTGTATAAGAACAATAAGTTAGATTCAGCGGATGATACTTTATACTACCTTTCCATTCTAATTTTCAAGTTTGATGGATGTAAAAGGTTTCCACGTGCAAACAAATGCAGTGGAACACATTGACTTCTCTGGGCAAAGGAAGTGCACTCTAATTCTGTGGAATTTGAGAGTGGGCTTTAGATTCAGTGCTGCATTGGTTAGGTGTGTGTCCTGGTTTTGGCACTTAGCAACAGTGTGGCCTTGGGCAAGCTAATCCCTAGGCCTCTGTTTCCAATAGAAGTTCCCACCTGGTAGAGTGAGTTCCTCATCTGGAGTCTTTCGGGGATTCTGTGGTGCTTCTTAGCATCCTCTATCAACAGCTCAGGATCCAGCTCCTGCTTCTGCTACCTAGACTGCCATTCACCTTCTGCTTCCCTGGCTCCAAAATGGGGTGAGTGTCCCACTTCTGTTTTCTGCGTCCTTGTGAGTTTATGCTTACCTTAACAAAATCCCTCTTCTGCCTTAGTAGTGTTACATTCATAAAGGCACAAAGGTAAATTCATGCATTTGATTTGCCATCTTTAACCAGGAGTCATCTTTGTTTTTAAAGGAACATTATTTGTTATAACAACAGTGTCTTTAGAAATTTTCCTATGAGAATAAATTTAATGCTTTCCTTCTTCATTCCCTGTTTTCATTAATATAATCTGAGGATTCATTTTATTATTATTCTTTTTAAATATTTTATATTATCCCTTAAGAACAACAGCATTTAATTGAAATTTAGAGCAATTATTTATGTTGCTAACCATGGGCTTTTTATTCTAAAATTATACTTTTTGAATTCTTAATTTTTATTTATATCTCAGAGGATTGGAATGACTCAAGTAATTTTTTAGCAAAGGTTAATGAATAATGTATTTTCAGAGCCTTTGAATATGGGAGACTATTTTTCATATTCCCTTACAAATGAAAGGCAGTTTGGCAGGCAATAGCTTTCTTTGATTGAGTCTTCTCTTTCTTCTATAATTTAGTAATACACAGGAGAAATTTAAGATCAACTGGACATTTGTTCCTTTAATGATGACTAATTTTCGTTTGATTTATGTGTTGTTTTGTTTTCATGTCTGAATACTGATAAATTTTTTAAAATTTTATTTTAACCCTGGGACTCATAATTGTTGTCAGAGTGTGGCTTTGAATTGTGTATTGTTTAGAATACGATTTCTTTCTTTCTTTTCGGTGCAGTTTTTCTCCTTCAATTGTGTCTCTGATTATTACTCCTATTTCAGTTCTTCATTTGTGTTTTCTCAAAAACAACTATAATTAGACTTGTTTTTTCTGGTCCTCCAGATCTAGGGTCTTCTTTCATCCATTGGTTCTTTTCTCTGGCTTGATGTACGTGTTTATCTTCTACCTCGATGATTTAACTTTACTTGGTATGTATTTACCCCCTCCTCAACTGTATGGATAATAAGTCTGTCACTTCATTTTTAGCTTCTTTATTTCACCTATAATCTCTTTCTATCTTACCCAGTAGTCTTTTACTGATTTATAACTTTCTACTTTTATTTTTAAGGGACATGTCTTCTTGTATCATGTTAACAATGCCAAATACTTTTCTAAAATTTATATTAAATTCCTTTAAGAAGTCATTTTGGGGGGGAATGGTTCTTTCTTTCAATCTTTACCATGCTCTTTTCTTTAAATGCTTATTCAGTACTTCTTAGTAGCCCTCTGTTGACATTTAGCTGTTATTCTCATTATTCTTGAGTTTGAAAATATCCATCTAGATCTGCTCACAGAGAAGGTGCATGAGTTGCTCTTGGCCTCACTCTCTGTCCTCTATTTGCCAATAAAACTTCTTTTTTAGATCTCTGATCTTGTAGCAGGTTGATGTTTATAGGCTCTGGTGGATTCTCAGTGAATTAAAAGAGTTTCGTCTAATGTAGCTATCTCCAAAGCCTTGTTCTCTGTTCTCTGTTACTCTGTTACTGATTGTATAAGAATCCAATCCCCAGAATGCAACACCATCATATCATCTTGTCCATAAATCTGCATTTCTGCAACTAAAACTCACAGGATGCTAAGTACTACATCATTTGAAAGTAGCAGTCACTAATTGATGGGGTGGGGGATTCTCCTGCTGCCTCAAAAAGCATGATTCATGACAGAGATCTGTCTAGGGTTCTGACTGAAACAGGTTTTTGCATTTTTGTGCAAGATAGCAGAAAGTGGAGTAAGGAAGATATACAAAGATTTTCATACTTCCTTCAAGACCCATACCTTGTTTCTCATTGCCTCTGATTACATTTTAAAAATCTAATTTTCTTCTTCTTTCTGCTGTAAAAGTTTTTCTCCGATCCTCGTAATACGTTGAAGGTTTTATCTTCCTTTTTGTGGTTGCATACACCTTTATTTATCTCTCTTTTTATAGATGTTTTTGTGAGAGGTTGGGGAAGGCCCTATCAGGGGCTGGCTGCTATACACCTGTAACTTACATGAATCTACACAAAATTTAAAAAAAGTACTTTCTGCATATGGCAAAATGCTTGAAAATTTTACTTCTTGCAGATATTTTATGGAAGGAAATTCTTTCTTGTAAATATTCATCACAAGTTGTTATTCAAATGATGGAGACATCTGTGTTTCTGTAATAGAACCTATGTCTTCTGAAAACTGGGTCATTTTAGTGATAAAATAAAATGTAGATACATAAGTTATTGTAGGAATTCCAATGACCTCCATAAAATTTTTGTTTTACATAAAAACTGCATGATCACAGCCTATTAATAAAAGAATCTTAAAGCTGAAACAGCTGTTATAAATTATTAAATCTAGGAGTTACAGACTTAGTTGTCTTCAGGGGTCAGAAAAGTGACTGCAAATTCATGGAGTAGGTTGGATTAATATAATAGATAGTGAGAGGGACTAGAGAGAAGCGGAGATTACTTGTGTTGTCAAATCCTTGAGTCACCAGTATAATATCAAAACAGTATAATATCAAACACAGTGTAATATAAACCTACCCACCCCCCCATTACAGAGATGGAACTGAAGTCAAGGGATATTAATAGATTTGTCCAAAGTTTGGAGAATCTATGTGTCTTAACCAGAACAAGCTACATAATTTGCAGGGCCCAATGTAAAATAAACTATGGGGCCCCTTGTTCAACAATTATTAAGAATTTCAAGATGGTGACAGCAAATCGTTAAATCAAGCAGGGGACCTTATGCGACTATACAAGTTACATGCCCTTGAAGCCATACCTAGTCTTAGCTTCTGATCTAGATTTTGTATGTCCAAACAGAAAGAAACACACAGACACTCTCACCCACAACCACCAAAAACTGATAAGTTGGAATTAAACTTAAGTTCTTGATTTTGATTCTGCAGTTAGTGAAGTGCCTTTACTTACAAGAGAGTTTTTGTTTGAGGTTTTAGAATCATTGCTTTTTTTTACATGATTTGGAAGCTTTTGTTGAATCATTACTGCTTCTATCAGTTTTTATTGTTTCTTCCTGAATTCTGGTTTAATGAATTATTAGTTAAAGATTTTCAGCCCTGAAGTTCTAAGCTCTTCTCTAAATGTTAGTTCTGACTTGAATTTCAGAATGTTGGAAGAGTCACTCAGCCCAGGAGTACAACTCTGAGGGACACTTATGTCTGCTGCAGGGTCTCAGCTCTCCCTCCACCTAAATGTAGCTGTAATTTCTTCCAGGAAATTTTGTCTATAACTTGAATTATTTCCTAAAATAACCCCTTTTTTTCCACCTTATTTGAAATTTTTACATGAGTTGCAAACACAAAGAGTAGTTTGCCTCGTAGCTTGAAGTTGACTAGTCACTTTCTCCTTTGAGGTCATCCATAACTTATCACCCACAGTACCATGAACACTGTAACCTGAGGAATGCTATTTAGTGAAATCTAGCCAGGTTTGAAAGGCACAGCTATTCACAGTCACAAAATATAAGAAATAAAATTGGGAATTGAGTAATATGCTAAGATTATTATTGCGGTATCTATCTAATTGATTTATATAAAATCTGTATAAATAAAGTCATATTTTGAAAGACTTAAACATTCATTTAAAATTGAAAAAGAACTTAAAATTGTTTCCTCATTTAAAAAAGTGAAAGTCTAACAGCTAGTTTGGAATGGTATAAAGTTATCATTAACAGTCCTGTATCAGGTTGATGATTTAGATCTCAAATGTGTTCCTTTAGTGACATCCACAAAGATGTCGATAAAGATTTGTTAAAAGATGAAGACAAACGTCTGATTGACAAATATTAAGATTTTTATTTTTAAAACAAATATGAACCTCAGTTAAGTCGAGTTAATATCTGAATCAGACAGAATTCAACACTATCTTACATACACCTCCATATTATTGAAATATATCCCTTCATGAGTAATTAACAAGAGGAAATTCACATAGGGAAGGAGAAGATAAGCAAATAGGTAAATTAACTAAGTGAAAGTTGTGAATATAATTATTAATATTTAAAAATTTACAGTAACCCATGCACATGAGTGTTGTGTATGTGTTCAGCTAGCACTGAAATTGCTCATTAAATTTAATCCCTGGTTGGGGCAAGGGCGGGGGTAGGAGTTGGGGGGGCAAATATAATGGACTTTTTCATGCACATATTTCAAAATATGCTGTGAACTATATAAACTGAATGTCATGGAATTTTTTTTAACCTTCTACAGGTGGAGATTTTCATTTTACCTTTATGTATTTACCTATGGAGTCCGGTTCCTGAAAAAGGTATGATCTGTCAAGTTGCTTTATATAATTTTTATGTAACTGTAAGCCTAGATCTCATTTTTTATGTGTGACAGTAGTCATATTTTAAACAATCATAACAGGCTTCGTAAGAATTGTCTGTGCATTTTTCTTTGCAGATTATTCTTTATAGTAAATAATATACCTAAAATGCTCTTGAAATAATTTGTTTTTCTAGTGAAAGATGTTGCTCAGTCCTCTGACCACTCTAGTTGGTTGTTTATTACTTGTGGGCATTAGGAGCCTCATAAAATCCATATGAGGCTTTGAAAGACGTTAGTCTCCAAATCACAGATCCCACAACTTAAAAAAATTAGTTGTAATGTGTGTTATCATTGTAGTCTTCATCAATAGAAATTATGTTTTAGTGTCTTTATAGTTATTAACAGGGTAGCACCAACCGCCGGTGGAAAATTTAATTCCTTTCATAGATCGTTTTTCTCATGCTGAGTTTTTGCTGTTGCATAAGCGCAGTGAGGCACCTTTATCTATGAAAGCAATTCTCTGAGGCTGCTATAGTCCTCTTCCTGAATATTCTGATGCTTAATGTCACTGCTAACAGTTAGGCTGCTTAAATTCAAGACTTATGAAGACTTATCTTCTCATAGTCATGCAAATATTAAAAATAGTGATTTTTTGGCAGAAAATGGGAAATTATTTTTAAAAATATTTTGTTATTAACCTTTAAAGAGTTATAGCAATGTTATCTTTATTTAGTTCAAAACTTTTTCCAAAATAGGTCATTATGCCAAGTGGCATGCCTTACTCGTCAGTTTTTATGTAAATATTGATGTGAAAATTGCAAATACATTTTTATTTTTAAAGTCTGAGTTATAAGATATTTTCTGCCTGTGGCAAATTCTATTATAAAAAGTGCCTGTTTCCCATTATCATGTTTTCCTAAAGGAAATATTCTTTTTCACTTGTTGTCTTTTCCTTTAGTAACTTACACTTATTTTTCATTTAATATGATCATATGCCCTAGAGGCCATGTGAATAGATTTAAAAGGATGAACTCCATTCTGTAGGCTGTCTAAGTATGAAGAAATTCTCAGCTGGGGTAAATAAATGTGGTGGAAACTACTTATTTTGGAACCCTACTGTTGTTCTAGTTTTCAAACTTACTTTCTCTAGGGGAAAGATGGAAAGAATGGCTGTAGAGCTTTTATGCTCACAACCTTAGGAGAGCTTTGGATAGAATTTTGGCTGACACGGGAATGTTGTGCTTCATGGGAATGTCGTCTTGCTAACTGAGGGCAAGGTTTGGAATTCATGTTGGGTTCTGTTGGTGGAGGACTTTGATGGTGAGTGAGGATAGATAATGTAAGCCAAGAGCACTTTTTTGCCCTTTCCCCTATACCTGCAGGATATTGTCTCTTTTAGCTCTCATACACAAGCCTGACCATCTGTCGTTAGAACAGGAAACACTTTGACACTTCGGTCTGCTTCATCTGTCCCTAAACTAACTGAATGAAACAAGAATAGTTTTCACACTCCAGTCCTAATTGGCTCTGTAGAAGACTATAAAAGGGCCTGTCAGTAGAACATTTGCTTGGGAATTGGTTTTCCTTAACCTATACCAGTTTCCTTTCAAATTGTCTCTAATTTTAACAAATGCTTAAAAAATGAAAAGAGAACTAGATGTTGTTCTTCGTGTTGAATTATTTGTATTTGGGATTTCTTCCTTTAATATTATCTGAGAAGCACTCAGTTTTGAGTATTTCTTAGACCGTATTAAATGAGCTATATAGTTTAGTGTTAGTCATAATGTGTGATAAGAAATACACATGGAATCCATGTGGTTGAACTAGCTGTGGAGGCCTTCATAAGCCATCTTGTGCAACCCTCTTATTTCACAGCTGAGGAAGCAGAAACAGTGAGAGGGTAGGTGGCATTCCAAAGGTCACATAGTTTCTTAAAGGCTGAATCCTAAATGAAACATACATTGCTGTCTCTTATTCTAGTACTTTCTCCACTTCACCAGCCTGACCTAACCTCAGCATGATTTCCAAATGACTTCCTTCTTTGGTTAAGTTAGCTGACTTGACCTGATATAGTCATCGTTTTTCTATTCGTAGAACTTTAAATACTTACGTTAATGGATGTTTAAAATATATTTCTATTAACTTTCTTGCAATGGACAATATATTTGCCCATCTGATCAGAGAAGGAAAAAAATAATGTTTATGGAGGCAGAATCAGAAATAATCAAAACAAGGTAATTCAGATTTTCGTAATGCCCTCAATGTTTTAAAATAAAATATTAGGATAGTGGGCCAATTTTAAGAGTGAGAGGCCACAGGTGCTTCTTACTTCTGATATCAAAAATATGGATTATTACATGGGCTGTTAGAAATATGACTGGGCAGCTTGCACCACCCAATTTTCTTCTGCCTTTAGGTCAGATAAACCTGATACATCTCACCTAGGGTGGATTAAGCACCTTTAAAAACCCATTCTACCCTGAAATTCTGTGATTTAGTGAAAAAGAGATATTTACAAACTATAAAACATCATGCACCCACTATAGTGGATAGAGAATCTTAAAAAAATAAAAGCAGATAAATTAATAAATAATTTTTAAAAGCCATAGAATTTTAGATTTAAAAGTTATGCATATCATATAAACATCTTATTTTATAGATGAGTCTATGAGGTGTGAATCTCTAGGATAAGAATAGCTTTAGTTTTCTCTGCTGTATTGAAATACATTCAAGCCAAATACTGAAGGTTTATTAAATGCTGTTAACTTTTCCATTTAAATTGGCATAATCCTATAGGAAGTATATACATATTTCTTCGAGGTATACTAGAGTTTCAGTGTGTGAATATGACTGATTTAAGTGCCCTCAGTTTAAAAATATTTTTCGTATTTAGAAATAAGGCAGTTAAGAGTTTTTAAATATGTATAAACCAAGTCTGTATCAATAAACGTTTGTGCTTAGTCTGGGTCCTCAGAGAAGGAGACAAGAAGAGATTGAATGTGCAAGAAATTGATTAGGGGAAATGGGAAGGGAGTTAGAGGGAGGTTGGAAGAGCCTTCAGACCACATTGTAATTCTGAATCTGAGAGAGAAAAGAAGGAAAGAAAGTTGGATAAAGCTCTAAGACTGCTGTCCCTTTCTAAGGAAAGTTCAATAAGGCTACTGAGGAGTCCTGGAGCCACAGTTGACCATCAGAGGAGACCTTTGTCTTCCAGAAATGGGCTTGCCTTTAGGATTCATATTGTGGTCAGTCTTTGACTGGGAGTAGCCCGGCATGGCCTTCATGCACTTGTAGCTGTGGATTTTAGAGCATAGCAGTTGGGCTCTGGGTCATTTACACTCCCAGCAGTCCAAGATCTAAGGGGCACATTCTCATGGTTGCCATGTGTGCTTTATGTAAAAAAAAAAAAAAAATTCCAGCTATTCTGAGCAAAGCCAAAGGATACATCATGGAATATGACACTATGTGACATAGAAATTATGTTTTCATATGCAAGATGCTTAGAAGCATAGAGGACTATCATACTTTTTTTTTCCATTTTACTTATCATGCATTGACTTAAACTCCATTATGTCATAGTTCTTATAGTTGATGTATAAATGTATCTTTGGAGCAATAAACAGGCTGACTTCCCACATGAGTTGGGTGACCATACAAGCTGTCTTAGGGTTAATTTCCTCTTATACTCAAATGGCCCAGTTTGGGTAGTGAATTATATGATCACCCTATGAATAGTTCTATAACAAGTAATAAAATAATTTGCCCTGTATTTTCAAATTTTCAGACATCCTGTGAGGTATTCATATGTTTATTTATATGAAATCAACAAAATGTTTTCTGTAGTTTCACGATTGCAGATAGGGAATGAGCCACCTTTATAGTGATGTAATAATGCTCAGGGTGCATACATTATACATTGTGTTTGCTTTCCCAGCTTAGAGCTCCCTTTACTGATAGCACTAACTTTGATTATTGAAGTAGTCTCTAGAAGGCATTGACCTTACAGATATGTTAGTGAACTAAGTAAAGTTATTGCTAGGATAGTAGGAAATGTTTAAATAGTTGAAAGATAAGCCTATCTTAATAGTCTGTTTCTGTAATTGCTGGACAAAAGTGACTCTTCGCTTATAAATATGATTGGCAGAGACAAGTACTTTTAGAAAAGAAGACCCAGAATTATGTCAAGTGCTCTGAAGTCCTACTTACACAATGTACTCATATAAATTAACACATTTTTCTAGGTCCTAAAAAGAAACCACATATCAAGCCTTAAAAAATAGAGTAAGCTATCTCTCATTTACTGTTGCCTCTTTCTCATTTGTAGATGGAAGTTTGTATTGGATGGAGTTCTTAGAACATTTTTCTTTCATTCATTTACTTATTCTTAAAAGATAATTGTGTCACAGGAAGGCAATATAGATATATGTGCAACTGGAATTTAGGTAAATATTTTTTTCTTGTAATCTGCATGTTAAGCTAATGTATATTTTATATTACAATCCATTTTATACACATGCATGTATATAATTAAAATAGAATTTACTCAGAATATACCTATACTTAA